ACGATGATGAGGAAGAGATTATCCAAATCAATGGGACAAGAGGAATACAGACCACAATGCAGCGCAAATAGAGAGCGGGTAGATGGGACCATAAGAAAGATATATACCAATCGGCTTTTCAAAAGAGAATTTCTGATATTCTTTGGGAACTATACTAGCGGGAGCGGGTACGGAGGAAGTATCCAGTCAGCAGCGCATTGACGAATTCTCATTGACTAGGATTAAGAGGTTTGATTACCAAGCTCAGCGATTAGATCAACAGCCACATTATCAGCCATCAGTCAGAGCACCTGAGCTACCAGTACTTCGACACACTGACATGAAAGGCTGTTGATGAAGCAAGACACAAGGCTGGAACTTGACAAATTAAATTATCCACATAAATAATCCTATCCTTCCCGGCGGATTTAATGTACGTAAATCGTACCCTCCCTCCTACAAACGGTGTCACAATAGTTAGAACGTTTGACCCAGTTCTGGCAACTTTATCAGTGATGAAAACTGAGGGACAGTTCATGGAGTGTATTTCAATACTGACCCAGTGTTGACGCTGGTAGTTTAGTGATAATCAAGGACAAGAAACTTAATCGTCAAAGAGTTTGGAGACTGGAGATTATTCAGTCAAATATTGCTGTGATACATGAGAAGGAAGAAATTGACGTCCTGACATCTTTCAACCTACAGAGTTGATGGGTCCGTTACATGTAGCGTTTACAGAATACCTATGGGGTAAGGCCATTAAATTCACTACTCAAGTCTGTCCCCGAATTGAAGCCACTCATAAGGGCCTTTTCACAAAATTGGCATCATATGTTTTATAGGGCTACAGACATGAGGTAGTTAAGCACAATAAACGTGACACTCAACTTAGGAAACTGGTATACACAGAGCTGTCCTCAATGGGGAACATCACGCTAGCAATAGCAACACATCAGTTCGCCTCGGCAGTAAAACGGAAGTAAAATGTGCCAGAATTACACCTTTTCAACCGGGCTTAAAAGCTACAACTAACTCAATCAAAGAGAGCCAAGTTCTTGGGAAAAAATCACACTGTGTCAAACAGGTTAAAGGAAACTGTGGTGCAACTTGTAATTTTCTCGCGAGTAAAATGAGATAGTATCCGCTTCTTTGGTTTCAAGGCTGTCTGTCGCAATTCGGTATCAGCCTGGGGTCTTTTACGGTTAGGTATCCGTTAGCCGTATTCCATCAAGTTGACCTCACCACAACATTTGTTGTCCTTCTTTGCTTTCGAAACTCACGTATTCTGAAGCAGATCCTCCGCTCTGTTCAAAAGCAACTTGATGTAACCTTTAAGCTCCTTTGGATCTAGTAACACAGCAGGTTCTATTTTTTGGTTAGCCAGTTGACCTACCCGACCTTTAATCAAGTGTCAAAGTTATCCCTATGATGTGCAATAGAACCCATCTTCGATAGCTGAAAGCTACTCGAACTGCATGCGTCTACCACTGTGTCCTCATAATTACTTGGTTGCTCAAATTTCGCCAGTAGTATATCAATGATTCAACATCTGTTTCAGGCTGTGCCCCCCTTCGGGATTGAACGGGTGCAACGCGGGCCAACCCAGGACGAGTGCAAGAGAAGACACAATAAATAAATAAATAAATAAATAAATAAATAAATAAATAAATAAATAAATAAATAAATAAATAAATAAATAAATAAATAAATAAATAAATAAATAAATAAATAAATAAATAAATAAATAAATAAATAAATAAATAAATAAATAAATAAATAAATAAATAAATAAATAAATAAATAAATAAATAAATAAATAAATAAATAAATAAATAAATAAATAAATAAATAAATAAATAAATAAATAAATAAATAAATAAATAAATAAATAAATAAATAAATAAATAAATAAATAAATAAATAAATAAATAAATAAATAAATAAATAAATAAATAAATAAATAAATAAATAAATAAATAAATAAATAAATAAATAAATAAATAAATAAATAAATAAATAAATAAATAAATAAATAAATAAATAAATAAATAAATAAATAAATAAATAAATAAATAAATAAATAAATAAATAAATAAATAAATAAATAAATAAATAAATAAATAAATAAATAAATAAATAAATAAATAAATAAATAAATAAATAAATAAATAAATAAATAAATAAATAAATAAATAAATAAATAAATAAATAAATGAGACCGATGCCAAGGGTGAACGAAGTTCGACTCGTTATTTTTGTAAAATGTTTTCATCCATTCCATGTAGATTTTCAACTCTAAACCTGAATGAATCGGGTCACACAACACAAATATATATGTCACGGCGACACATTTGCATCAATATCAAATGAAATTTAACATTTGGTTGGTGACAACAACAACAAATCAAAGTTATTAGGGAGAAGTGTCGTGTGAGTCAAATATCAAATGAATCGGACCACTGGTGACGTAGTTGGTGTCTTTTAAGGCCAACTCTCATTCATCAGGGTAAGGGTGGAATTTTTTCTCAGGAGCATCATATGGTTAAATCTTCCGTCAAGTGAAACCAACGGCCGAAGCTTTTTCACAAAGTGTTATGAGTCGTATTAGACGCGGTTTGGTTGGATTTCCAAATCAAATTCCATTAACAAAAACGAACATTCATTAGTTGACAGTTTCTTGATAACTCGCGTGTGCGGATACGTTGTAATTCGTCAACTTATGAGTGTTTCGATTATTTTTCTGGGGTGCGTAGTGGGAGTTCTGCTAGTTTTGCGATAAGCCCATTGAACCCTTAAATGATGTGTGAGATCCGGACGGTTATGGATCTCACAGGACGATTGCCACTATTGGATTATACGCGGTTCGCAGCCAGTAGTCAATAGGAGCAGACGGACATGGGGCAGCAGATGATATATTGAGGACTGACAGGAAGTGGTTCTACAGACAAACGGATTAGTAAGCATCATGAATTAAGCATACGTCGGAGTGGGCGCTCAAAAAATAGGTGCAATCGAGGTGAACTTGCAGGCAATGACAAACGGGCAACAAATATTGACATCACCTACTGAGGGATAAGCAGACCTTAAGTAGGAACAAAGCGGGGGGAAAACGAGCAGGAAGAAAACGAAGCGGTGTCATAATAAACAGGTGTAATTCATGTTACTCATGAGTAGTCAGAAAACAAGGAAAGTTACCCTTGTTCACCGTTGTTCCACAGGCGGAACCAACATGATGCCTTACACAATACGACCAGGCAAGAAGGAGAAAAATTCGAAATCGCAGCTTCAGGAATAATAAACAGATTTTCAGCACCCAAAGAGTTTTTATGTTAGCGTAGACTATTGTGGTGGTTTTTATGGCGGAACGGCGAATGGCCGTCAATTTTATCCTCAAAGGTACACTTGCTTCTGTGTAAGGGCGAGCATTCTCTGAAGCGGCCTAAACCGCACTATTCCTGGAGGAGTCCACTCTTAAGGGGAGCATACTTCAGGAGGCCTCTTGTGGCACTTTTCCACACATCTGAGATAGAAACCAACTGGGATAAGGGGACGCACAATAACGAGTTACTCTTCTGATTTGATGGAAATAAAACGGTAACCTGTCACATCAAGGAGCGGGTGACAGGGAAAAAACCGGAAATTCGTTATGCATCATTCTGTTGACAAATTCGGCGATACTTGGGGCTAATTTTTTAGGGATTATTCACAAACCTTTGGACTTGGGTCCGCTGGCTGCAATATCGTCCTTTTTTATGCCGTTGTATTCAACCCTCCTATATTTTTGGAGCTGGAGTGAACTGCCAACATCATCCAATGGGCCTGATTTACAAGTTGACCCCTGCAAATAAATATGAAAGTGAACTGCAACAGATATCTCGACATTCTCATTCCGTCTACATTTTTCTGGACTGCCTAAACTGAATGTGTTTTACCAAAAAACTTCTCCGATAAGGCTGAAGTTTTCTAAATTTTTTTAGTTTGGTGTTCCGTCATTCTTATTGTTCTGGTGTCATTTTATTCTACTCAGAAAAGGTTTCCTCCGATGTTTGAGTGATGTGGAAAACTGATTCAAAGCGATATATGCCGTTACGTTGACAGCTCTGTTGAGTTAGCTAGTCGCTGATCTGTTCGCCCAGTTGGTCACTTGGACAGTGAATATTTCATCAGCAATGAGTGAGAAAACGTGAATGTGCGGGTGGATGGATGAGTACTGCTTTCTGCTTGCGTTCATTTATTTTTATAGCGTACCTGTGTTTAAAGTGATTAGTCAATCGGATGGTAACTTTGTAATTTCAGTGGTTTACTTGCGAGTTATGTTACACTGCAATCCATTCTCTTTAGATTGGATTGGTTGATTATGCGCCATCCTTTTGCCTTTCTCTCCAATTTTACTGGCCCACTTGAGTTCGGCTGCTCCGAAATCAGTTTCTACATGTTTTAGAGCGGCTGTATCTGTCTCTTTGAACCTTGATTTTTATTCATTGTTCCGGTCGGTCAGCACGCAGTTAGGATTGCATTGTAGTTGGCTTTCATTAGGTCTTACCAGTTAGTTGGATAGTTTCCACTTTTGGTTCAATTTTGTCGTTATTTTGTGTTGTGTCCAGGTTTACGTTCCAATATAACTGATGTGTGTGCATTATCCCTTACAAAATAGTCATGGATTATCTTCGATCCTAAAAGTTGAACGATCGGGTCAATCTCATTACATCCTTTTATGTTTTCTCCCACTGGAATATCATGCTTCCGTAAATTACTGCTCCAATTTGTTGTTGTCTAAGCCACGACCGCATTCTAGGATTTATCGAAGAGATGGGATTTGAGCTACAAAAACTTCAGACTATTTCATCGTCAAGAGGATGAACTTCGGTGGATAAGGCAGATGATAGGCAACGCTTCCAATACCACTCAGTTCACAAAGGGGAATTAAGTTGGTGGCTTATTCGAGGTCTCACTAGAAGAAGTACCTGGCTCACCTGAGACAGCGTGGGTTACTTCAAAACAATTTACATGTCAGTAAGTCTGTTTGGTACATGAGTGATGAATATCAAGTCAAAAGAACAAAATCAGAAAAAGGTACCATAGAAGAGATCGTTGGTCGAAATATTGCACCCTCCTTCGGGAGAACATATAACGGTGACGATAAAGAAGCACAGAATGAAAAACTTGGACAGTTGTTGGAGCATGGGCATAAATTAGTTGGAACTTCGGAGGTCCGTTCTACTTGTTACAGGTTCATAAACAATCATCTGTGTGCTCATTAGTTGATAGCCAGCTGTCCGGTCAACTAACTACTGCGTGGTTCGGTGTTGTCGGATCGCTGACGGAAACCGCGTTGTACTTTCATCAGTCTTTCCAGTTCGCTCACCCACGCATCTTGGTAGTCATGTCTCCATCTGAAAATGAGGAAATGAACAGACTGTGCAGACAATTCGTACAGAGAATCAAGTGATAACGAAACAAGGGGTTGTCTCGGGGATTTGTAATAACAAGTTTGTGAACATTCTGTAGAAAGTTCCCACTTGATCATTTACGAATTGTAATATGCGTGCACTTACCGGTACAGCGCATTGGTGAAAAGAGTCGTAAGATTATCCAGCAATGTGACCTTAAGGATGGGTATTTGGGAGCACGTGGAGGAAACAAAACGAAGAGTTTACGATATTCTGCAACGGAGCGGTGCCACCAGAATATGCTAGTGAAGTAGATTTCGCAGCTTCCTCGCTCCGTCCAAAGGCGCGAATTGGCACAGAAACACAAAGCACAATGTTGGAGTTTGCACTTTTTTTTTATTTTTTCACTGTTCACGCGACTGGCTTGTCTGCTAGGCAACAATGTACCGCATTTCGCCACTCAAGCACACAGTGAATAATACAGTGACTTAATTGATTATTGACCAGATGGCTGTTGATCTGTTCGCCGGCTTGTCAATTTGGGTTGCAAGCGTTTCATCACCATACGAGGAGATATCATCAGTGCGCAGCTGGGTGGGTCACCCGAACTACCAACATTACCAACAGTAACTCAAACAGTCGTATGTTGACAAGGCTGCTCACTCACTTAGTTAACAGGATTGATTCTTCATTCGATTCAATGTTTATTCTATCCCCAGAAAATTTTTTTTATTTTTTCACTGTTCACGCGACTGGCTTGTCTGCTAGGCAACAATGTACCGCATTTCGCCACTCAAGCACACAGTGAATAATACAGTGACTTAATTGATTATTGACCAGATGGCTGTTGATCTGTTCGCCGAGCTTGTCAATTGGGTTGCAAGCGTTTCATCACCATACGAGGAGATATCATCAGTGCGCAGCTGGGTGGGTCACCCGAACTACCAACATTACCAACAGTAACTCAAACAGTCGTATGTTGACAAGGCTGCTCACTCACTTAGTTAACAGGATTGATTCTTCATTCGATTCAATGTTTATTCTATCCCCAGAAAACTGTTCAGTTGCCTAGACTGAACTAAACCTCAGCATTTGTGACTAAAAATAGTCGGTTCCTGCACAAGAACAGGGGCACAAAGAGTAGATATTACTCACGTTATTCCATGATAAGTTTGGATCTGTCGCATATCTTCGGGTAATTCTTCTGGGTTCGGCCACTCGAAATTGCCGTCAAATACTGGAATAATGTTACAGTTGTATTCCATCGCCCAAACAATTTCCTGTAAAAAGACGAACGAACAACAAAAAAACGGAAACAAATTTGGTCAGTTTGTACTAATGACAGAGAAGGAGCGGAGCTTCTATGTGGCCACTAAGTGCCCAATAAGCGCACATCCCTTTTCACAGTTTTAACTACCGCACTTACAAAGCTGAGCGTGATTAGCTAAGACATGGTTTTAAGATTTGCACCAGTCTCGCGTTCGAACTATAGTGCAGACTCCGTCTATGTTCACGCAACACGTTCTGGCCGACTCATTGTCAATAATTTGCGGACGTGCACCAGGCATTTGTGCTGGAGGCTGAAACAGAAAATTTCAACAAGGGAACCATGGAATTTCGGGGAGCCTGTTTTGCCGTAGGCCAGTGCTTCTCAGCTGAGACGAATCCAACAGGAGAAGATTCAGACAATACAGACTTGCGTCCGCAATGTTGAATGTGAGTTCACGTCAGCATGGTCGCCTCACTGGTCACCTTCATACATGCCCTGCCTCAGGGTGACACGTTCGTTGATCAAAACGAGCAGACCCATTGCAGCGCATTCCTGGAAAACAATGTTGAGCTTATATTCTATATTTGAAAGCGCCCGATTCGGAAAGATGAGCAAATGTACGCTAACTTGTTTCGCCGCAGACTTAGGATGCTCATAGCATCCGAATGCATAAATTAATTGGGGCGTTGGCTTAACTCCAGTAAACTGAGAAAAACAGTTTGTGGATCATCACTGAAAAAGAACCCCAATACACAACAGGGGTCTCCAAATACAGGATCCGGTCAAAGGCCACTTGGGGTCAGAGTTGAAGCCGCTTCTTTCTTTCGTCCGTAAACCAAAGGACTCAGACAGTAAGCTTAATGATTTTAAAATTAAAATCACATTTAAGAGGAAATTTAAACTGTCAAAAATATTTTAATTAATGAATTGAATCCAACAGTCTGAATTGGTGACCCACTGGCCGGTGGACTAAAAGACTAAATAAATGAAGGGCGAACTCAGTTGTGAGTGGATGTGCGTCAGGTGCTTACAGAACCGTCACATGCCGTCCTACACAGTGATATACGTGCACATAACTACCGCTCGACATGTACAATATGGTGAATGCTTCAGCCGCACTGGTTGGCTGAGTCGTATAGAGAGGCAATAGTGAGCGGCAATCGTTCTGGTCACGTTTAATCCTTCCGGTTCTGATTAAGGATGACGGGTTCTCCGACAATAGCCAGACCTCCACCAGCTTGCGTTGAAACAGGACGGGCCAAACATGTGACCAGGACGGTTTTCGTTCGTTTGACCAGTATGCACTTCATTTGGCAATTTCTAGCCCAGGTATTTCGCCATGGCCCAGTTTTTCCAATTCGATAATAAGTTTCAACTCTGATTTATCGTTCCGCTCATCCCTTTTGGTTTTTTTGAAATCTTGTTACGGAAACAAGTATTGCATTTCAAGCGATGTGTAGAGGTAAAACTATCCTTTTTACAAATGGAAACAACAATGAAGCCACGAACTGTGCTGGTCCCATATGATGTCAATCATCGACGTTGTAAGACAACGCATCAGTCAACTTATTCAAAATCCACTGGAATTTTTAGTTTTGTGAAATTCGGGACATTGAAGCCCCACAGGGTGGCTGTGGTGGATACCTGTAGCCTGTTCATGACTTTACACACCTTCCAACGGGTCACTCACACCTATCCCTTAATTGTAGAACACTTGTGGCTACCAGAATGGTAGCAATCTTAAAAACGCCCAAGATGTTTTCCGTCTTAATTGGGCAACCAACGTGGGCCAGCAGCCGATGACCAGGTTACCAAACACAAACCTAGCCCAGTTCGCTTAAACCTCATCTACTGGGTTACCTGAGAGTAAAAAGGAACTTGACGGGACCAACCAAAGACGGCCACTGTAAACATACGGCTGTTGTTCATTCGATTCGCGGTTAAAAAGTGGTATGAAACTTACGAACCCTGTTCCAACCATCCCTTGTGGTCCAGCAAAGTCGAATGAGGAACTTGACTTCAAACCGTCTAGCATGGCAGTCAATACACATCGGCAGAAGTGGGGACTGGTCGGGTTACATCCAACTCACCGTTATTTACAATGGAAAATTAAGACTGACTAGACCATGAAGCCCATGAACAACATTTCGGGGTATTGTCAAACCGAGAATTCGTCCTGTAAGTGAAGTCAATCTATGTCGAAAACCCGAGAAGCGGTGTACGGTTGTTATTTCTTTTTATAAATCATCGGGCGGTGCGCATCACAAGAATGTCCGGGGAGATTTGAGCTCACGATCTTTCGGCTGCGGAGGCTCCGCAGTTCATTGAGACATTGATCTGTGCTACATTTCGCGCGACGCAATTATTCACCTAAAACAAGGCAGTCAGTTTTCTTCCTGTCCGCGTTTTGGTGAAGTAACATCATTTACGAATCGAGTTGGCGTCACCGGGAGACTCAACTGCATCCCCTTTTAACTGCTAACCGCCGTACTATCTCAAATCCACATCATACTAATAGTAGCATAGTATTCGAACAAAATGAAAAATTAATTTCGGGAGAAGACCTTTCACTTGGAGACATTGTTGCGTGTAATCAACAGCGGGTGACTACCACAAATAAATATGAAATATGAAACTCACACGATGAATCCAGTCTTCACACTTGTGGTCATTCCGACACCGATCTAAACAGCCGTTTGTAAGCACAAGAATATAGTTGTTCGAGTTATAAATAGCAGCCCGAATAGACTCGGTGAACTTTCCTGCAGGCATACTAAGAACATCAAGGAACACCGTGTAGTTACGAGCCAGTAAATGTGCACGGACAAGACTTGCGAGCCGATCACCGGTCGAACGACGATAGGATATGAAGACATCCAGCTCTCGGTTGGAGATTTCCCTGCGATCTGAGCAGTCTGGCGTTGGCGCGTTTTCCGAATCCACTCCACCTGACTGAAGGACTTGGAAAGCGCAAGACAAGTTTAAAGCACCGAAATACGGGTAAACTAGGAAACGGTAAATGACATGCCCGGTGCTGTTAAACGGAATGCTTCTTTGACAGTGTTGCTCACAGATATACACACTTATCTATGTGTCAAACCAAATATCGGCAATACAGAATCTGCGTTTTACGGTACATCGAATTGAAACTTGGAAAGACCGTACCACCCATGAGAACGATTCACTTTCATATAAAAAACAGGTTCAGGAACTGAATGACATCCGATTAATTTTGTGCAAGTAAGGTTACCTTCAACAGTCTTCAACAATGATGTTAAATATAATAAGTATAGCAGTAATAAGGAATAACAGTCTCGCACACCAATGATATCTTCAACATGATAGAATATTTATTTGAATGTTGCAACCAGCATAAAAGGGCCATGGTTAGCTTTAAGTAAGACTGGCAAGACTATTAGCAGGACACATTAGTAAACGGGGGTAGCACTTACCTCCAGTTGGAAACGCTTCTCTATCACTATACGTGATAGTACCATTTACTATACTATGTTACATATACTATGTTTACGAAAATCTCAATGGAGCTAGCAGTGAGAAGCAGAAGTGTGCCACTGGTGGGGAGTTATTGGTCTGAAGAATAAGATCAACCGAACAACTCCTTTACGGCTGCCACCGGTCACAGATTCAGTCGGCATCGCATGGAGCAAAAAAATGCTTACTCAGTTTGACCAGTAAAAATCACAAGATGTCGTTCAGTTTTAATCAGGTTAGCTGTGTAGGTGGGCTGAACATGGTATCTTCTTCCTACCTAACAGGACAAGAATGGATCCGATCGCTTAGTTGGTTTCACGCATACTTTTGGAGCCACTAGGGTACCAGTAGGCTGGGTTAGAGCCCCATTCGGCACAAAGTATATGCCTGGCTCGGTGCCTGTAAGGCAATCAATGAAAAAGGATGGATTGTACGCGTGAGTTAAGCGCAGCCTTGTGACATTGCTTCAGTTGACGGAGAAACACCCCTCGCTCGGTGCGTGCTAGTGGGTGGCGAAAACGCTTAACACTTGTTAGCTGGATATACAAGCTGCGAATCAAGCACATTGCAACCCCCCACCCACAACTACAAATCCGTTCACTTTTTCTTTAAACGCACAAGAACCTCATATTGTTCACGATGTTAGGCCCCTGCGTTGGAACGACGCATCTTAAATTGATACAGCGGATGAACTTGCTTTCTGTATCGGATCCCTTGAGACTAAAGTCTGCCCTTCCCCTCAATTTACTTCCACACAGAAAAAACGCTGACTAATGTGCAGTGGAGGTACACTAAATCGGTAGTGATTTGAATGGTGCAGAGATTGGTTCTAGGTTCATTTGTACTATTTTTCAGGGCATCAAACTATTTTTGTTTCAGAAACTTCTGCTAAACACAGGACCCATGTTGACTTATAATACGGGATCAGGAAGTTGTTCACTGGCAAGTTTTCATGCAGTGTCGAGCGTAATATTCAATTAGACAACTGAAGAACCATTTTGAAAGGACAATCGGCTGAATTACTTTGAATTATCGTACTCAGCAAGCAATGAAAATATTGATCCCGAAAGGTATTGGTCTTTTTGCTGAAGGAGAGCATTGTACTCAATAGTACATACTTTGTACGCCGACCAGAATTTGTGCACGATGGAGACCATTGGCTATATGACAATCATTTAACAGCGTATCGTTTGTTAGTTGGGCGAGATGCATGCGATCCACACCCGCTGCGATTAGGTTATGGGTGTACTGTCGGAGATTTCGACTGGGTTCGATTCTGAGAGCATGTGACTTTCCAGAACTGAATGTCAATTCCAGTTGATCACCCGATGAGACTTTTGTTGACCATGTATCCTTCTTTCGCTTGGATTTCGGGATCAGTGTGGCGGCCCAAAGTAGCCATTCAGCCAAGTTGGTGTGATCGATCGAGGAGTAGTCGGCCTGTAATTTTAGTCTAGCGAGTGACTGCAAAAACCTGAAATGGAAACGAGGATAACCGTCAAGATCCAGATACAGTAGATAGAAAGATGATAATGATTTGATGGAGTGCCCGCAGATATTGACAACTTGCTCACTTCAATCGGGTAATTGAATTGGAGATGTTCAGGCCGTGTTGCAAATGGAAATCGTCAAGGCTCAACAGGACGTCGCCATCTATGTTCATCTGGATAAATAATTCAGACAATTCTTTGAATCCAACCTGTCAAGGAAGTAGGAAAAACAGTGGTAAGCCTACGAGACGGTAGGCCACGCTTGAAGATCAAAGCATATATCCGTGGTATGCAGCAATGCTAAATAGTTACTCTAGATTAACCTGTTTCCTATAGAGGAAAGTGTTGGTAACTCAGATAGCGTAGATGATCGTTGGTTTGTTAGCTGAGTTGGGCAGTTTGATCGCAAACGTTTTATCCCCAATCAAGGTGACATCATCAGTGCGTTGCTAGGGGGTGTAGCGGTGCATAGCAATGGGTTGGCTGTTGTGCCAACGTTTGTAGTCAAATTGCCCAGTTCAGCTAAATATGTGGTTGCGCGGCCGGATAATCCTCTCAACAGTTCGGGTTTCGAAGTGAACTAAAGAATGGGCTTTGGTACAGGGACTGTGCATTCAGTGCCTAAGCCGTGAGAACTGCCTAGCAGATGATGATCCACCACATGGTTTCACAGGGACATCCACGTGGATTATTTCAAGTCTACGGTTGAGAGCAGGAACTTCCTCCGCCTGCTCCACCACAAAACTCCACCCATCCCACGTGATGTTGGACAGAAAACAGTTAGCAAGAAGAGACGTTTGAAACTAATCCACCTCTCTGAGCTTTTTAGAAAAGCCCGTGAATGAATGAAGCTGCTACGGACATTTCGCGTTTCAAAATCAGTTTCGATGAAGCTGAATTCGGGATAACACTCTGAAAACAGAATAGAGGCAACTTACCCGGTCGAGCCAGAAACAAACATCGGAAGCGGACCACGAGGGAACATAGGGAGTTAAACGATGAGGTAACTCTTTTCCGCAAATCTTCAAAGTAGCGAAGCCAAGTTCCGATTCCAACGGGTCAATACTACATGCAATTTGATACAGCTTGTTGAATGCCTCGTTCATCACCGCATCATCCGGTCCCGTTTCTAACGGAAGCTCACTCTCCGTGGCTGTGACCTGTGATGAGGGTTGGATGAAAGCAATGAGGTAGACAGGGACCAAAATTCATTGTTGCTGACGGTGGTAGCAATGAAATACCGAAGGAAAGCTGGCTAAACTGTTGAAGGTAAACTTGATGGTTGCCAAAAAGAAACACTGAGCCAACCAAGCAACGAATTCAACCTATGGAAATCATCTATTATGTGGTCCCACTAGCGCTAAGTAAGACAGGTGCCGCACCAGGCCTACTGTGTATCTGTTTGGTAAGTGGATAACACACTTGAAGGGTGGAATCGTAAAACATGAACGTGAAGATATAAGATGTTAATTTCTAGATTTTAATCTAGGCCTTTTTAAGATCTCTTAGATTGTGTGGCGGAAAGCCTAATAAAACGCGTCCACATTTTGGTTATGTTAGGGTTACTCTCGCCAATCCCGGAGAGCCAAGTTGTGATGGAGAAATCCTATGTACCGAAGGTTTCTGAAATTCTGTGTGTCCTGATGCGCCTAAATTTATTAGGCAATAAAAAGCAAAGTGAATGTTTTGACCATGATTATTTCGTTGCAAGGGTCGATGGATCTGGTGTGGCTCGAATTTTTCTGTGCTGACTTCTCGTGCAGGATTGTTACGTTGTAATCCACGTCATCTTGGCAATTATATTAAACTGAAATACAGCCAAACTATATTAGCCCCGCCTCTCTTGGATCCTACCATATAAGTACGTGGTCATACTGTCACACAGCCAATAAAACGGGCTGAAAATTTATCATACTTATTCTGGCGACTGCTTGTACAGACATCTTAGGAACACGCAGCTAATAGCCGAAAACCATCGCATGCCATCACGCGCATACGCAGAAAACAATTACCAAGAATTCCATTGTCTTATATACAGTATAACGCATTGCGTTTTCATTCCTTATGGTGACATCCTCACTTTTAACCATCCATAGGCATCCGTTGACATCTGTCATTCCTCACCAAATTCCGGTATATCCGCAGCGAATATCACGTGATTCAGTGATGGTTACCATCTGAGCCGTGGTGTTGATAGACCTGATTCAGAATGACACAACTTGAACAAAATGTACTTTTTGATATATATATATATATATATATATATATATATATATATATGGCTGGG